TATGCAAATCGACTTCGTGGCCGGGATTTGTATGCAGATTGGAGGTTGGAGGATGGAGGATTTAGATTACGAGCAGCAGCTCGCCTCCCGTGTTGACTCAACGTGCTTGCTGTTTGGCTGCCAATTAAATAAATGCACAGCCACATAAGTTAGCCCAAAAATATGGTCGCAAGTGGCTGATTCTGTCGCTTCACTATACTATTAGCAAAAGCAACAAAATCAAATTTAATATATGATAATATAGATTTAAATGTGATTAATCTACACACAAATTTGAAGAGTAGCATAAAAATCTGGTTGGTATCTATAAGCAATATTTTTAACTTAGTGTTACTACTTGAAAAATACTGAGAGTATAATGTAGTATGTAAAGTTTGAAAATTCGTATAGTTTATAGTTCCAAAACAATTAATATTTATAACCCAAGTTCCCACCTAATATTTGTTCCCCGTGCTTAATCTCCATGCTTACCCATCCAATAAACAGCTTCAGCTTGCGGATTCCGGGCGTGGACATGAGTTGATTGATTTATGGCATTGTCCTCCGGCATTGGGCAACCAGGTCACGTGATTGTTTCCAACTACATTAGGGTAGTTCGCACTGATTTAATTTCCACCCGACTGTCCTCAAGAGCCACTTACAATTAAAGCGAGGACTACGTGAAAACGAGCTCTGTACTTGAGCTGCTCAATCGAAGGTCGTTAAATAGGCGCAGAGCAAGGGTCGGAAAATCTCTGCCGAAAAAATCAAAAGTTTTGCTAAGCCGAAACTTCAGCCCCCCACTAATTGGTGTTTAATTGGGTCCAAAGTTTGCCAATGGGTGGTGCATGCACCGTACTCAGAGCCGCACCACGAATTCTGGTTAACTAAAAGCAAGCTTCCCCTAAGCCCGGCCAAGCACTTGCCACATTTGCGCTGCATTAAAAATGCATTTCCCCTCTTCTTCCGCTCTTCCGTGTTTAATAGCCTGTGCAACAATGTGAATATGTTTGTGCTTCATGGGCGTAATGCTGATGGCGCTCGTTCCCAGGCAGCCATATAATTTGAGCATCATGAAGTGCACTTATCAGTACGGTTGGCAAGCACTGCGATAGATAAGCATCAGCTGAGTGAGTGTGTGGCCCAAAACTGCATTGTACTTACCGAAACTGAAGCAATCTTGGGGTTCTTCTGACTGGATGCCTGCCCCAGAAACTGAAGCACCCAATGTGGCATCCTTCTGGATCCTCCTAAGCCATTGCTTATTAAAACATACCACGACATCCTCGTACCTTAACTGTACTCGTATTCTTACACAGTAAACATTTCATTTTAATTCGGCTCGTAACTTTAAACTTACGGTAGACCAAGTGAGCCTTTTTTACGATGACAACGTGCTACAGCCGTTTTATATGTCTCATTATTTAACAAGGCGGTTCATTTGACTCTACCAACAAAACATAAATTAAATATTAGTCAAAATAGATTTGTAAATGTCAATTCTCACCAACATCGTAATTTCCGTCCAGTGTGGGATTTCCTTCTCCAGTGAAACCAGTTGACTTTGATTGCCGTTTGGACAACGCGTCGTATGATTGTTTTTAGCTTGGCTGCTAAAGGGCGAGCTCGGCGGAGCCAAATTGATTTGTGCACGTGCACAGTTAGGTAATGAGGCACGGACCGACACAACGCTCCGCCGGGTGGCATTCGGAAATGCTTTGGAATTGTCGCTGACACTCTGCATTTTTCTCTGATCCATGCAGACGTGGAGCTCTGGAGCTCTGAAGTCCTGGAGTCCTGGAGCCCTGGGCTCTTCCCCTGAAATTCTCCGGTTGCAACTGACAGGTGGCAGGGATGGATTTTAAAGGGGGACGGTTGCCAGGACAGGATATGTACATACATACTGGACAGCTGCCAGGTCAGGGCGGTTGCCATGTTCACTTAATTAACAACATTACGGCATTAACACACACACCCATACAACGACATACATGTGTTGCGAAAGTTGCATTAAAGTTTTATAATAAATCTAATGGTCAACAAGGACAAAACTGTAATTTTGTTTGTTGGCTCGACTGTCAGGCGAATGGACAGGCGGGGACTGCAGATTGGACTGTAGATTGGAGGCGTGTCCTGGGCCCGCCTTTGTCTTTGCAATGGCTGACACATTGTGTAATGGTGCATTCGTGCATATGAAATTGCTGTCAACAAAGGGCAAAGGACTTCCGGCAACCGCAGGATGTGCCGCCCTAATGGGTTTGCTTGGCCTTAGTTATGGCAATCATGAGGTGACACATTAACCTGCTCCCTGACCCACGACCCATGACCCACGACCCCTGACCCCTGAACACAGTGTCTTGGCCTTAAAGTGCTTGGGGAAATCAGTGGCAACCGCAAACTGAACACGAATCGAAAAAATGGCAAAGCGATTGATAAGCGACCTGGCAGACAGGCGGCCCCCAAGGCCACCCACCTAATGGGTGGTGGGTGGTCCTGTTTGATTACGCACCTGGGACTCCAACTTGTACACGAACGTGAACAGCCATGTCAAATGAATGTCTATGTCGACAGTTTTCATTTCCCAACTTAAATGCTTAAAGTGATGATGGATTTGAGGAAAGTAATACACGAAAATAAATACCTTTATTGAACTACAGTGAAACAAATACCATTGATGCTTGTGATTGCCATACCGAAACTAAGCTCAAAGAACAATTTTACTCTTAAATACAAACAAAGTAAAACATTATTTATTCTTTTAAAGGTTATTCTAGTAAGCATTAGCATTGCTCTGGCACTTGTATACTCTCAATATAGGCAGCAATCGATTTAAATAACCCAATTCTAAATGTCGAACAGTTGTTCCTGTACATATGTACATATGTATGCAAACACTTCTCTGTGGGGTCAGCAAATGAAACAAATTAAAAATGAATATATTATGGTGAATGTTTCCTGACCACCAAGCCGCAAAAGGCGGCTGGAGAGATTTGCAAATTGGCCAAGATTTATAGTGTTAGCCACAGCGGTTGGATCACAAGCGCACCGCTGTGCGTGCTGGTGCAAAGTTTTCCCAGCTCGTTGGGGGATGGAAATTAACACAGGGACACCGGAACAGGTGAGCCAAAACTGAAGCAGGACCTGTCTGGGCCCAGTCTGCTTGGGTTTTCCTGGGGTCTTGGGCTTTTGGGTCAACCGGCTCCTGGCTTAAATTGGGTGGCGGGGGAGCATAGAGTCTGCCACTCGACCCGACGGCTGCTGACTAATCTGTTAATTTATGTTGAAAAGTTCAAGAAAGTTTGGAAGCGCTTAGCAAACAAATTGTAATAAATTATTAAGAATATTTGCACACAAAACGGGCGGGTAACGGTGGCTTCACGGTTTTTGTGCATTTCATTAATTTATGTTTCGTTGCCTGCCAAAAACTTCTCGCCACTTGTGTGGATAATTTGATTTCACCGTAGAGCAACTTTACACTGCCAGGAGGCGAGATTCACACGCAAAGATAAACACGAGCCCGTGTCCTTTGTCCCCTGCTTCGGAATACCGTGAATCTCCGATCCCCTATCCCTCATCCCTGATCCCGTCGAGGTTCGAAAGTGGCCAACGAAAAGTTAAAATGTTCTTATGCATAAGTGATGCGCCGGGCGCCTCGTCCTTTTTCGCCATTCGCCTTTCGCTGGCGACAAAGTCCTCTCACGAAGTGCCCGCATTGCAGTTGTTTCCGCTTTGCTTCGTTTCACTTCGTTGCGACATGAAAACTTAATGTCGTAATTAACTGTTTGCGTTTGCGCTTTAAAAGTTCCCACAAAGAGGCGTCGCGTATACGCCCCGTGTGCGTCACTGCTTTAGCCGCGTATGCGCCCCCTAAGCCGAGATTTAAACGCATCGCGTGACCCACTTGCAGCCTGCAACTTTCAATGGCGACGAGTCACTCAGGCAGAAACTGGCAAATGGTGTGACACGAATTTCCGGCCAGGAAACAAAACACAAAAACAAATAGAGCAAAGCAATAGAGCAAGGCGAAACGGCTGACTGGCATTTCGAAGCGGGAAATGGATGTAAAAACATCATAGCTCCAACTTCCACCCATACGAATTAACTTTGATGACTTGGCGGAAAAAGCAAAGCAAAAATCAGTTAGCAGTGAGCACTTACCTGGCGCGATTCCATTTCCGCCGCTTAACGTTATTAAATCGTCGAAATGGAAATTTCGGCCTAGAGCTAAGCTTCAAGGATATCCAACTAGATTACCTTGGCACCCGGATCCGGCAATTCCCCAAATTGGCTGGCTGTTAAATAAGATTGTCAACTGCAATTAGCGCGCTTAATGCGTCTTTCGAACGCGAATTGACAGACAGACAGCGTGTCCTTCTCGGCTTTCAATCTGCCAGATGTTTAACCACTTGCCTGCCATCCTGCCATTTCAACCTGTTTACGGCACGCATCCTGAAGGACTCCGCCGAGCAGTGTGGCAAGGACACAACTGTGGCACTCAGACATGCATTCGCTGCTCGCCACTGGCAGCAGTAGCCCCTCCAAGTTGCACATTTAAAGACTGCGGCGACTCGAGTCCCCTTCTCTGTCGGCTGATGGCCCTTCAACTAACGCACCTGCTCCACAGCCAACCACACTTGGCTAAATGGGCCATAGAAAGTGGTAGCGAGCTGTTTTGCTTCGGTGTAAATTAAATAAACCCCGTAGATTATAAACTTATGCGCAAAGTGGGGCCTGCAATAAAGACTTCCGTCACAAATGCCTGAAAATGTTTGGGTTATTTTCTGCATTTATTCATGAAGATTCTAGAGCTACTTTCGGGGCAAGCGAATTGAACTTGTAATGCGACTTATAATGTTTAGCATTAATTAATGTTTCCACTATGTTTCGATCACTAATTACTCCATGAAGGAAGGTCAGAATTAGTCAGATAACCTTTATAATAATAAATATCTAATGTTTTCATTTTTAAAAGGACTTAAATTGCTTGAAGATCTCCAGTTCGCAAAGAATTAAAGTAAAAATAAATTAAGATAACCACATTATATGGGTTTTATTCAATGTCAGTCGGAGATTTGTAACAACTATTAGAAACTATTCAACCTAATCCAAGTGTAGTCGGCAATCACTTGGCCTGGCAGCACTTGGCTCCCGTCTTGGCGGCGCATTGGCATTGGCTGTTTCCGGCGCAGTTACTTCCGCACTTTCCGGCTGAGCACTGGCAGTCTAAAGGTGGAGAGTTCATTCGATTAGTACAAGTATAATTTTATGAAATATAAGTTTACCCATTTAGGGTGACTGGTACTTACTGTTTCCACATCCCTTGCAAGGCATCTTGTTGCTTTTTCTGGTTGGTTTACTGCGGTGTTTCCGAGTCTTGGAAGCTTTCAAACTTGTTGATGCCTTCTGGTTGGGAAACTCCCCTCTTTATACCCGATCCAGTCAGTGGGGCGTGCTGTCCGATAAGATAAGAAAGCCGTGTGCAGCTCGATCGGCGTGCGCAAAAACAAAAAATTATTTTTCTGTGCCCGGCGACGATAAAGCGGTTTGCACACGCCCTGATAACAAGAATCGGTTTGGTGGTGCGCAAAGCAGTGGGAGCACTATAAGAATGCTGGACCTCCAGTCCACAATCATCAAACAGTGCTAGCTTACGGCTAAGTGAATCAGGTTTATTTGAATACGAGTATATTCAACAACAAAATATAAATCACATAATGGGTTGCAAGGCGTGTGGAACAAGTGAGTATACAACTAGTCCTGGTTAATCAAGTGCGGCTGCTTATTTCCCGATTAAATCCTCAGACTGCCAGTGCTCCGCTACCAAGTGCGGCGACAACTGCGCCTGCAGCCAGCAGTGCCAGTGCTCTTGCAAGAACGGACCCAAGGACAAGTGCTGCTCCACTAAGACATCCAATTAGGTACAAGGACCCTCTCAAACTCATTTGTGCGATATACATATAACCCGGCGACATGGCATCAAAATAAATACACAATCGATTCAAACTAATGTTTAAAATCAAATCTTTATTGGCCATTTTGACAAGAATAGTTTCCCACTTTAGCTTTAGAAATTGCACACCCAATTAGCGTTTGAAATTACATTTAAAACACTTACACCAGTACACAATTAGTTCAAGTACACCGTGAGTACAGGACAATCAAATAGTATCCAAATATCAACATTGTTTTTGGCGAGCTTCTCTCGTGTGTATCTGTGTGTTGTGTGGTGTGTTTGATTATAGTTTTTGGGGAATGTGTGTGTGCAATAGCTTTCACAATGAAACATTAAAACTTTACGTACACAGTATTACATTTTGTTTTGCAAATTGTAAACAGAGTAAACAGAAGGAAATCCGCTCTCGGTCGCATTTAAGTGTTTCAAGTTTATTGAATTGTATATTTATTTGGGGTGTACTTAAGTCTTATAAAATTCTTAAGGTTCGCGTACAAAGCTAAGTGTAGTATTGTGTTATTGTTGTTGTTAACATACATAAATGATTATGTTTACGATCTCTCATACAAACGTAATATGGTCCTCGTGTCTCTAATAGCTGACTAAAAAGGCAATCGCATGTGGCGCATTTGAAATGCATTGCAAACTCTGCCCTGATGACTCAAACAAACAAGTTTAAAAAAATATACATTGATTAGTTCAAATTTTTGCGCATTTTCAGCATTGGAAGCCAATAAAGGAGGGGTTACATAAAGCAATTCAATGATACTTAGATTATAACTAAAATTAAAGCAATCAATCTCTGCGTTGCTGCTTTCGTTGATTTCTTCATCTTTCGTTTAACATAGGCTTAGCACGCGAAGTAATTTGTATATCCAAGTTTTAAAATTAGGCGATTAAAATTAAAATCAAAATCAAAAATTTCGATTCAACAAATAGTTACTCACTAACTAAACCGATTCTCTTGTCAGTATCATTTAAACGTAGTTCTTTGCCACAGACGAACACGTCATAGTGCAAAATTGAAATCATATGTATACATATATAAAAGGTATATATAAAAATATAAAACAACATGCGGACACATTCCAAAGGTTTATACAACACAGAAATTCTAAATTCTGCCTCAGTCAGACACAATCATAATCACGATATATAATATAGACAATGTTCTGGCTGTGAGCTAAAGGTGTTTGTGTTTGTGTTGAGGTGCGCAATTTGCATGCATTGATCTGCTAGATCTATTGTTGTTGATGTTGTTCTTGTGTTTTGGCGTTTCACAAAAAGCTGCAAGGAAAAAGGTAAGAGTTCAATATAAAATATATAAACGAAAAGCTAAGAAAAAAGTTAGTTCTTAATCGCAAGTAGTAGGTACACGAGTAACATTTAAAATACGCGGCTAACTTGGTTTTAAAAATAGTTTCACCTTCTGCGACAAGAAAGCGCTTGTGTACATATATACGTATATAAATATATATAGATATTCTGCATGTAAATTCGTAATTTGTTTCGTTCCCTGTACGGAGTTTCAACTCTTCCAGCTAGTCTTAAAGAAGTCTCAACTCTTCTAGCTAGTCTTAAAAGGAAACGGATCCATGACCATTGAAACCAGCTCACTTCCGTGCCGGAATCCACTTCCTTTCTCTAGTTTATTTTTGTGTATAACGTTTGTACTTGTATATAGCGTAAAACGACGAATAACGCTCAAAATACGATAAACAATTAACTGGACAATCGCGAACATTTAGTACGTAGCATAATAAACCTCATCGTTACAATATATATATTTTCCTCATTCATTTGCTTAGGAATTATCATTTTACTACCACTTGCTTCATTCTTTTTCCAACCGACCCGAAGTGCAGCCATATCTTAGTGCGTTTAAGTGAGTTTTGAGGTGAAATAATATCAAGAGATGAAATACATACCAATCAAAACCTTTCACTACGATGCATTCCCAAATCTAATAATTACATCTAGATAACATTAAATAAAACTTTCGATTAGCACAATGAGTCATGCGCCAAATCGTTTCAATCGTTGAGGTGGCGGAATCGTCATCGTCGGACTTCCAAGATAGCGGCACACGTTCAGGATTTTATCTGATTTCGATTATATGTAGGCTTCTATAGTTGTAATAGTTAGTTTCAAAAGTTCTCAAAGTTTGTAATCGTATCGAAGTCCGCCATTCCAAAGTCACCACTAAAAGAGGTTTTGAATAAAGTTGTGTAAAATTAGAAAAGAAAACATTAATAAATAATAATAATCCGGAATGTAATAAATCAAAAACATGCAGGCGGTCCAAGAAAAATGTGGGATAGATATATTAGATGAGGGCATTAAAGAATGAAATGACAGAAGTGCTCAACTTATTACAAATTTGTACTTTAGAAATGTCGTGCAAGCTTATATGGAAGGTAATCCCCAAAAATTGCGAATGAAGGTTGTACTTAACACTTAATATAATAACAATAACATCAAATTGAGATTAAGTTCGTAATTAAAGAGACAACAGCAACGAACATGCAAGTAATCGAACAACAACCCCTAAAAAGGGGCACGCAGGAGTTTTTTAAATCTAATGTAGCAACCAGTTTTAAACACTTGTCAATTTTATTAGTTTCTTTTAATCTGAAACTCCCTATGTCGCCTGATTGGTTAAGTCAGATTGGTTAAGATCAGATTTATAGGTGCATGATGGTGCTATTCTGCAAGCTGCGTTCAAAGCGAAATAAGAAAATGGTAAAGGTAAAGGTTAGAAGGCATGTTTTTTAACATTTTTGCAAAGGTCTTACAAAATTGATCGAGATGTGGCTGAAAAGTTTAAAGAGATGGCAATACTTTGAACTTAAAGTAAAATAAATAGAATCTCTAACAAAAAACGCAACGTAAGTTTTAAGTCTCTTAAAACTAAATTGCGAAAGACTAGGACTATTGTTAGTTATCTCATTCGAGAGCCCATCTGCAATTTATGAATCAGGGGTAAACTGAGGCGATGAAATGGAATGAGAATGAAGTAGTCAACTGCTATTTATATAGGCAAACTGGGAGATGGCGGTCAGGACTGATCGATCGGATGAGAGCGCTATTAGGGCGTGAGTGAATGCGGACAAATAGCGCGGGAAGTATCAACGAGTGAACGGGTTGCAGTGATCTGAATTCTGTGATTTGAATGCGAAACTTAAATAAAGTGTTATACCTTTCGGTAAATGGCACAATCAACTAGCGCCTAGTACCCAGCCATCAGGTGTAGGCGGTGGCACAGCATATGATCATAAATTGTAAACGTACTGTCTATAGTTGTTCGTCAATAAGGCATCAGTGATTTCACTTATCACAGGATCGTTGGGTTGAGCGCCTATCACAATTCTCTCTAGGGCCTCGGCCGTTTCGCTAGCATCGGAATCTGATTCCTCAAGTCGGGCTGGGCTATAGAAAGTGATGCCGCTTTGTGGCGAGATACTGAACCATCACCAAAAAATCAATTGCCGCAAAAGGTGGAAAATGAAAATAAACAAAGAGTAGGGTAGGTAAGTTTCTGTGTAAGTACAAGTACGTAGAGACAAGTGACATGGAGAACTTATTAAAGAGCTCAGAAAAAGTTTCCAATTGATTTTATTAGTTTGTTAACAAAAGAGCCTCATGTATGTGTTAGTTAGGAACAAACGCATTCGGTTTCAACCTTTTGCCCCTTTAAAAGTTTTTGTTCGAATTCAAAGTATTGCAATCTGATTAAACTATTTGTTCAAAAACATAATCATAATCAACGTAAATTAAAGCATACAAGCAGAAACAAAAAGGGCGGATCAGCCATGACATAGAGGCTTTATCGATCATATCGGCCCAAACATTAGCTCTCCACAAAAGCTTTTAAGCTAAATGGTTTATTGTTTTTGTTGGGGCTGTTGACGGTCGATTTGGCGTAATAGCTGTGGCGTCGGCTTCCAAAACTTACTTTCCCAGTTGCATGCTTTCCTGAGCATGATGCGGTGTTCCACGCGTAGATCCATTGTCTCCATTGCTACAAACGTGAACGTGCAATGTGCTTTTCACATAACCGGTCACGGGATCTAGAACGAGGGGTTCAGGTTCTGATCAGGAGTGTTGGACCGTGTTATCTTTGATTGCATCCTTACCTTGACGCTTTGAGTAGAACTCGCCAAAGGCGACGTCCCTCTTTACGGGACTCGCATTGCGATCGCTAGGATGCAGCCAGCAAAGCACGTCCAGATCTCGAATGCGATCGGCCAGGTTCAGCACCTGGAAATCACGAGCAGTCCATGGCGCCAGCATAATGACCGTTCCACTTTCATTTACGTACGCGATAGTGACTCCACCTATAGTTATAATATTTTTATGTTTGGAGACCTTTTTGGTAAGTTATTTTAACAAACCGAGCTCGCTGTCGGAGAAACGGAGCAGGAAAGTGCCAATACCATAGACTGAACGCAGTAGATCATCCTGAGCCTTGGCCTTGTTGATGAAGCCCATAATGCAGCCTGCTTTCCACATGCCCAACATGTGATCTTTGGTGAGTTTCATGATGGCAAAGAACCACTCCCAGAATGTAAAGGTTCGGTCGGGCAGGGGCTCCTTACAGAACTGGTTCCACGTAATGTACTCAGAACGCTCCTCACGCTGGAGTTTCTCGTCTGTAAGCGTAAGCGAAAATAAAGATCGATCACCAACAAATATTGGAGATTCAACTCACATAGGAAATCCAAGTTATCAATGGTCAGAGAACGCCCTGTGCAAGATCCGAATTTGATGTTCAACGCGACTGACAGCTGGGCCCAGGTAACGCGGTCGGTAATCATGAAGGGATCGCGCACAATCTCCGCAAACGCATTGTCCCATGTAATAGTTGCCCAAGACTGGGGCTCTTGGTTGCCGTGCACAATCACCACCACCGGTAAGGACAGGGTCCACACCCGGATCTGGAAATCGTTGACTGTAGTGGTGGTGTAGAAGAACAAGGCGAACTTCTCGTCCATAACGCTCTCAGTGCCTTTCTTTTCTGCCCGCTTGATCTTCTTCAGCTGCATGTTACGGAA